TTTACACGATATTTGAGAATCAGGAAAATGCCAGAACCATATTCAGATGATTTGTGGCGGAGATTGGTATGGTTCAAATTGTTTTATGAAATGTCTATAATTTTGACATATCATCAACATTTTTTGAATTTACAGATTATTATAGTGAATACAGGTAATGTCACCTCGTCAAAAGTATTCGGACGTCCAAAGGGGACGACAGCGTTTTATGAGCACTGTGTCTGAGGAATTGGTAATTTGTAAGATCTTGTTGCGACAACCTACCATATACCTAAAAGGAAATAGCGTACGAGCAGTATAGGGAAGAGAGATTCTGACTCAGGCGGTGCACGAAGCACCGGCAATGATGTCATGGTGGGTTGTGGCGCGGATAGTGCACTAAACATCACCCATGATATCATTACAGTGTATTTCATATCATTTACACGCGCTTGTAATGTATTTAAACAGTGTGGGCCAATGGTTACTAGCATGTAATTAAAAATAATAATATTTAATACTTTGCTAATATTTTAGAGTTGCCCCAAGTCTCTCTCGAATGGGTTTTGATAGAGTATATCCAGTTTATAATGAGATCAGTTTTGAACTTGAAACGGAGAACGAGAGAGACTTGTAAAACTCGGCATTCATTAATATTCACCATATTTTTATTATGGCTAGTATACGTTGTGGGTTTTGCGAGATATATATACTAATACCACCAAAGTCATGAACAGTCGTTAATTAATAAACCTAAAATGTAATTTCTTAAGTGTTTATTATGGATAGATAGGCATTATTTATTACGTGGACGAGGACCTTAATATAGGGCGCGTGGCTTTGCAGGTATAAAAATGCACAAGAATTTAGATTTAAAATACATTTATTTCTTCAAAAAGTTTTACAAAATTTAGTACGGTCTATTTCTAAGGGCGTTACATTCAGGTGTTTTTGTTATCTTTAAAGAGTTCTCGCATTCTTTTTGTGCGCAATTTATTTGATTTAAGCCCAGTCTAAATAGCTTGCAGCTTAGCTCCAAGTGGCTCGTAGCCGAGTCAAAATAGCTTGGAACCTATATCGAAATATTGACCCTAGTTGGGAGCAGAGTCTAAATAGCTCGGAGCCTAGCTGGAAATATCTAGCATAGCTCGGAGTGGAGGCGAAATAGCTTGGAGGGTAACGCTGTAGGCTCGGAGTCGAGTTCCATAGGCTCGGAGCCATTCTAAATGATTCGGAGTCGAGCTCCATTGGCTCACAGCGACTGTAAATGGCTCGGAGCTACTCTAAATGGCTCGTAGCCGAGCGTCATTGGCACGGATAAGGAAGAAGACGCCGAAGATAAAGATAAGGAATAAGACGCGGAAGATAAAGATAAGGAGAAGCAATATAAAGATAGGGAAGATAAAGATAAGGATGAATCTATCCAGTGTTCTTCCTCGGAGCCGAGTTACTTGAGGCTCGAAGACGAGCTCCATAAGCTCTAGGATTCAATGATTCAATCTTAGGATTCAATTATTCAATCTTAGTACGTATTCAACGATTCAATCTTATGATTCAATGATTCAATCTTAGGATTCAATTATTCAATCTTATGATTTAATGATTCAATCATAGGATTCAATTATTCAATCTTATGATTCAATGATTCAATCTTAGGATTAAATGATTCAATCTTAGGATTCAATCATTCAATCTATGATTCAATGATTTAATCTTAGGATTCAATGATTCAATCTTATGATTCAATTATTCAATCTTAGGATTCAATGATTCAATCTTAGGATTCAATCATTCAATCTATGATTCAATGATTTAACCTTAGGATTCAATGATTCAATCTTATGATTCAATCTTAGGATTCAATTATTCAATCTTATGATTCAATGATTCAATCTTAGGATTAAATGATTCAATCTTAGGACTCAATCATTCAATCTATGATTCAATGATTTAATCTTAGGATTCAATGATTCAATCTTATTATTCAATTATTCAATCTTAGGATTCAATGATTCAATCTTATGATTCAATGATGCAATCTTAGTATTCAATTATTCAATTTATGATTCAATGAATCAATATATGATTCAATGATTCAATCTATGAATCAATCATCCAATCTATGAATCAATGATTCAATCTAGGATTCAATGATTCAATCTTTGGATTCATTTGATCATAAGATTGAATCCCAACCTCAATTATATCATTTACATATATGAATGCAAGGTGTTTGTGCATTCTATTCAAACTACGCGCAACAACACCGACAACAATACTTTATTCATTAAATTTCAATGACCAACCGAAACAGTAATGTTTTTATATTGATTACTGGACTTTAATTTATTAATACTGTCTGTACGATGAGATACAGTAAACACTATATTTTTTGAATATTTTTTGCCAACTCTAATTTTTTATTTGATTTTTACCATTAAGCTGCAATGTTCCCAAATATACCTTATTTTATTCTTTTATTCTGTCTAACACCAGACAATTTTTATTTAATTTTCCAAGGGATCTTATATAACGATAGAGATAATTTTACCTATCATTGGGCTATCAATGGGAGAGTCCTGAGTATTAATATTTGAGAGTTAAAATATTGATTATGATATAATGTTTACATTATAAAATTCCCAAACATAATTTAAGATTAAACGAGACTTACCTGTAAGTTGAAGTTTGATTGTAATTCTATGAGTTATTGGCCAAGGAAACTAAGGAGTCATGTGAGATATGCGCACGCAGATCGAATGTTTAATATTTAAGCAACGAGTGATTTCAACAGAATAGGTACCGTATAGGGGTGGGCAAGACTGAACAGGACATTTCTTGTGTATTTGCCAATCCAGTGCTCAAAACTGACTTATGACCACAAACCCAAAAATGTCATGGGTGGGTGACTCCTTAGATTCCTTGTCCAATAACTCATAGAATTACAATCAAACTTCAACTTACAGGCAAGTCTCGTTTAATCTTAAATTCTATTTCGTCATTTGGCTACGTCACTAAGGAGTCTTGTAAGATTTTCAAAGTGTTCTAATTACGAGACCCATGTATAACCATTTCACAAAAAGTGAAATTGAGCTAACACTCATGGAATGGTAAATTAATTAACAGCAAAGATTGTCAGTGATAATCTTCAATAATATAATGAATTAATGGCATATTTGAATGTTGTATGCATATTCGTCATGAGTATTCCCTAAAATTTGCTTGGAACTGAACAGTATATTCCATGCTATATCCATGATGCAATACTCAATGCTCAATAGTTTAGTATTAAAACCGATAATATCACTTTACCGGGAAAATCTCAGGTCATCGACCATGGCAGCACATGTGGCGCCACATAGTCTGTGATTTGATAAAGTTCCTCAAAAAAAAAATTTTGTCGTGGTAGGTGACTTGCACACAACCACTGATATTAGTATCTTGTTCTACGTTCGAATGTTTAACAAATGCTCTGCAACATTGTTACTAATTAAATTAATTAAACACAATTTATATATAAAATAAATTGGCATACTGTTCACTGTGCCAGCAATGGCCTCCCATAAGGAGTATTTTTAAATTATATTATAACACAATTTGCCCTTATGCAAGTCTATAATCTCTCTGCAAGACATACTTTGTCAGAAAAGATTGCACGTCTTCAGTTTTTACCACGGATGTGTACTCAATGGTGGAAGGACTCGTGCAGCCATACGGTTCCCTAGCTCCACATTCATTAGAATGTTTGTCAATCACATTGTGACATGTCCAAATTTTCGGCGATTTCTTTTGCATGGTAAGTAACTGATTGTTTTTACAGTGTAGTGGGGACTATATAATTGACCTATAATGAAGTATGATGAACATCATATAATTCTGATACACCACCTTGTTATAGCCAACAAGCATGGTTAATAACCAATAGACAATTCCCATTATAGACTAATTTTAAAACTAGGCAAGGAGATGCAAATAAATCACCACAGCTAGAAAGGGCATACTAAAATTAGTAAAATTACAAAATTTGGTTGCGAAATGTTTTAAAATGTGGAAAATATAGCCTTGCAAAGTTCGCAAATTTTGCATATTTTTGTATTGCGTGCGACCATTTTCGGCCTAAATGTGGTAGGAATTTCCGCAAGCAATACAAAAGGATACAAAATTTGCGAACTTTGCAAGGCTATATTTTCCTCATTTTACGTACAACAATTCGCAACCAAACTTTGCAATTATACTAATTTTAGTATGCTCTTTCTAGCTGTGGTGATTTATTTGAGTTTCCTTGCCTAATTTTAAAATTAGTCTATAATGGGAATTGTCTATTGCTGACTGTTCACTGTATGTACCAGACATTTTGCTCATTGATTTGATTTATTAAATAATGATACAAGGCAAATCCAGTTACGCCAGTTATATGTTAGTGTACCGAACTCATAGCTTTGAATGAGTTTAACGTTATGTTGTAAGGTAGCAATATGTAGAGCTGGACATATGTAAACACACGTGCGAAAACTGCCTGATTCTGGTTTATTACTGTACAATTTGGTACCATAATTGTGAAGTACCAGTACAATAACTAACAATCCTACACGACTGATATATGACCCAATTTGCATGATGACTGCATGATATTGAAATACACCTGTATGGCTCGTGATATTCCGTGGAGTATAGCAATATTAACATTATTATGATCTGGTGCGGTGTCAGCGTCGCTCAGGTGTGAAAAAATTGCCCCTGAGAAGTATTGTGTACTTGTTGGGCAGACTATTTGATATCTATTCAGTCCTCTTAGAACAAAGAGATTGTTCCAGGGCGTAAAGGCCCGGTAACACTACACAACGATAACGATACGATAACGATACGATAACGATTAAAAAAATCGTTCACATATAAAATATATGTTGGTGGTCACACTACAACGATAACGATAAAATTATCGTTAGACGATAACGATAACGATTTTGAAATCGCTCACTGGAGCGATTTTTTTTCAGTCGGACGATAACGATAAATTTTTTGACCAATCAGCGTGTTTGTTTACAATTAATCGTTTCCTGCTTTATCCATAATTAACCCCTTTCACCTATACTACCCACTGATAACCCCTTGAGTATGGCGCAACATGGATGAAGAACAGCTAATTCTCGAAGTACAGAAGAATCCTGTGCTTTACGACAAGTCTCATCACATGTTTAAAGATGCCCGTAAGAAAAAAGACATTTGGAACGAAATTGGTAGTAAGGTAGAAGTAAGTGGTAAGTTGTCTAACTTCTATTTTTATGTCTATTTACATGTAAACAACTGCTGAACTGCACTTTATACAGCACTATCAATGGGCTATTCCATTAAATATCCGTAACCCCCCCCCCCCCTGTCGAGGATCCCTGGAATTCTTCAGGGGTAAAGGGTTTTGAGCTTGGAATTCTTCAGGGGTAAAGTGTTTTGAGCTTGGAATTCTTCAGGGGTAAAGTGGTTTGGAATTCTTCAGGGGTAAATGGTTTTGAGCTTGGAATTCTTCAGGTGTAAAGGGTTTTGAGCTTGGAATTCTTCAGGGGTAAAGAGGTTTGAGATTGAAATTTTTCAGAGCTTGGAATTCTTCAGGGGTGAAGGGATTTGAGCTTGGAATTCTGCAGGGGTAAAAGGTTTTGATCTTGAAATTCTTCAGGGGTAAAGGGTTTTGAGCTTGGAATTCTTTAGGGGTGAAGGGTTTTGAGCTTGGAATTCTTGAGGGGTAAAAGGTTTTGAGCTTGGAATTCTTCAGGGGTAAAGGGTTTTGAGCTTGGAATTTTGGAATTCTTCAGGGGTAAAAGGTTTTGAGCTTGGAATTCTTCAGGGGTAAAGAGTTTTGAGCTTGGAATTTTGGAATTCTTCAGGGGTAAACAGTTTTGAGCTTGGAATTCTTCAGGGGTATGACAATGAAAAACATGTATCCTCGACAGGGGGGGTACGGATATTAAATGGAATAGCCCAATACTGTATAGTACTCCCCCCCCCCATGTGGCCCCTTATTCAATAAATAAATAAAAAACATGAGTATAGGTGAAGACGTGAAGTTCAACTCCCGTTATATTTATACGGTACAGTTAAATCAGATCGTGTTGCATATAAAGTGCAAAAATTTACGAGTCGACTACTGTATTTGATATAACAATGTATTTGTATAAAAGTTGTGAATTAGCTTTAAATAAACGTCAGCTAGACAAGTCATTTTTATTGCATTTAAAAGCTTTTGTCCATATACAGTTTAAATCATGAAATACAGAAGATCGATAGATACAGAAGATCGATAGAAACAGAAATTTTGAAGTAATAAAATATCACAATGTCAATGATTATATTATTAATAAATCCCTAGTTTCGTTAATGCATCCTAGTTTTGTTAATGCATGTATATACATTGATTAATCATGTGCTTGTCCAAAACAAGCATTTCTCTGCCACAAGACTTCACCAGCTGGTGAAGTAAAGTAATTTGTGAACTTCTCTCTTATTTCAATGGCTTCTCTTGAAGCTCGGTTCCCTGACAGTCGCAGAGCTTGTATAGCTGCAGCTCTAGTTTCGTATCCAATTTCCTCTGAGTTGGCTGCACTAGATGAGGTTTTTTGCAAATAATTATGTAATACACATGTAGCCTTTATAATCTTGTCTACATTCTTTGGATGTAACTGAATTCTTCTTTGGTATATCCTCCATCTAGCAGCTAGTATACCAAATGCATTCTCCACTATTCTGCGTGCTCTAGAAAGCCTGTAGTTGTAAATTCGCTTGTTATCATCCAAATCACTCCCAGGATATGGCCTCATAATGTGGCGTTTCAATGGAAATGCTTCATCACCCACAATCACATGAGGCATGTTTCCAAGATGAAGTGCACCAGGTAGATGCTTATCAGGTGGAATGTGAAGTTGGTTGTTATCTAAGGCCTTTCCTAATTCACTCTTTGCAAATATACCACCATCACTGTTACTTCCATATGATCCTACATCTATACAGATGAAACGATACTCATGGTCAACCAGTGCCATTAAAACGATGGAGAAGGTGCCTTTATAATTGAAAAATGTTGACCCAGAGTTTGGGGGAGCTTGAATTACGATATGCTTGCCATCAAAGGCACCAATGCAATTTGGAAAATGCCATTTTGCAAGGAAACCTTTAGCTATTTTAGTCCAATCATTTTCTTTAGGTACTGGCATATGTAGTGGTTGTAATCTCTTCCAAAGCCAATCACACACTTCTGGAACAATTTTGACAATCGTTGATTTGCCAATTCTGTAGCTGAAGGAGATTGTTTTGTAAGAATCTCCAGTGGCAAGGAACCTAAAATAAATATAATTTTTTTTTTTTTAATTTACTGTACAGGAGAAACAGCTAATAAGAAATGGACCAATATAAGGGATGCATTTCAAAATAATCGGAAAAAGAATACATCCAAGAGTGGAGATGGTGCCAAGAAAAACATTCGGTGCTACAAGTATGCAGGAATACTTGGATTTCTTATCCCATTCATTCAAAACAGAGAGTAAGTATATATGCCTATTCTTTTATCCTGTGTCCTAGAGAAAAAGGGCTTTATTGCAGTATTAATACACTTAAAAGTGAACTAAAAATGAGGTAATATTCAGGCAATTTTTTATAACCAACTCTCCAGAACATTGTAAACAGCAATTTTATGTGCTACATGTACATATACCTTTAACTCTATAATTAAACCCACATTTTCTCTTGGGATGCTTTCCATTTAAAGGTCTGACCGGTCAGACCTGAATTTTTGTCTCTGTATCAATGGAAAGATCTGGTCTATGTTTCTCAAATATCTACAAAAAATCAGCCTCATTCTAATTTTATCTAAATTTTCCGGTCATATAGTTGCGAAGCCCAAATGTTTTGTGTTTCATTCAACAATTTGACCGTTTTGACCGGTCTGGCCGTGTTAATGGAGAGCGCCCTTGGATTAGTACTAGGTATCTAGAGAAGTGCTATACGAATATTATAATAAACAACAATTGTTTAGGGTTTTTTTTCCTTTTTTTCTTTCCAGAACATCAACTAACCTGGATACACTCAAAGAGGGATCAGATTCAGTGGGTAATGGGCAGGAAGAGTTAGAAAGATCCGATGATGAAGACTCGCTGTTGTCCATAGATACATCTGCCTCTAGTACACCTTCCCCTGGTTTATCACAATCTTTAGGGGCAACTCCCTCGTCATCAACAGCTTCCTACTCTTCCCGCAAGCGACGACAAAACTCGACTGAAAATGCTGTTGACTTATCTATTGTGGAATATTTGAAAAGTCGCAAAACTACACCTGATAAACCAGATGAGATAACAGAATTTTTTAATTCTATGGCTATTAGTGTAAAAAAATTTCCTGAATTGCAACAAGCTGTGGTGAAGTTTAAAATTCACCAAATAGTACATGAAATGGAAATGGAAATCCTCTTTGCAAAACCACATCCAAAGCATCAAACTGGACTGCTAAGTCAACAGCCACACATACAGACTGGGCCAATACAGACTGGGCCACAGTCTAACCAATTTTCACATCCACCATATCAAGTTTCTCAGGGCATGCCTCAACATCATCAGTTTCAGCAATCAACATCCCTAGCCAATGACTATAGACAGGAACACAGCACAAATGCAGAAACTGGATTAACCTATCACTCCCTATCATAAAAAGTGTGCAGTAGTTATTGTTCACTTGCTACTGAATGAACATTATTATTCTTATTGTTTAGGTACCGGTATATTGATTGTAGGCTATTTGATGTATGGCAAATAAACATGAATCAAATGTGTTGTATACTAATGATATACATGTAGAGCTATAGATGAATTTTTATATGGACATGCATATGCAATAAGGGACTGGTCATAATTTATCAGGGGGGGAGGTGTAATTCAAAATTTTAAGGAATGGTATGTTGTGACCCTGATTTGCCATAACCCAGAAAAATAATGTCCCCCCCTCTCTTGCTCGTGTCAGTACAAATCTACCTACCTACTACTAAACCCTGCATTCAATAAATTTTCTAATTGCACTTTAAATTTTCTAATTGCACTTTAAATTTTCTAATTTTCTAGTTGCGCTTTAAATCACAGTGGCGGCGGAACAGGGGGGCAAAATTTAGCCCCCCAAAGTAAAATATGTTCCGCCGCCCCTGTTAAATCAAAAACTAAAATTTATATTATACCGATACATAGTCATATATAAAACTTTAGTTTTTTCAAACGTTTCATTCTTAAGTTTAAAGAATCAATTTTTTTCAATGCATATATGCAACTCAAACAAAATGTGAGAAGGCATATGACACGCCATATGTATAAAACAATTAATTGAACTAAAACAGACCCCCTCCCCACCTTCATAAACTGTCTAATATTTTATGAACCCCCCTTTTTCCTGGCTAAAAAATATGTGA